GGGAGCAGGGCAAAAAATGTGTGTGCTGGGTGAGTGGGGTCCTTCATGATGCAGGTGGTCCTCTCCCTTCATCTAAATGTGTTGCAACAATCTAAGCTAGTTTCTTTGATTTGAGGACCTGTTTGAACATTCAAGCAATATATGTTAAAAGTAATATTCAAATGTATTATTTATATTTGTATTAATATAGGTGCGCAACAAAATGCTATGTCATGTATTATAAATTTATGTTTGCTGATGAACAGAAACCTCATACATATATATATATATATATATATATATATATATATATATATATATATATATATATATATATATAATTACCTGAACTTAAGCTTTATTCTATATTTTGAGTATTTTTTCCAGCAAATAAAAAAGTGTATGCAGAAAAAATTAAATGCTACTAAAGTTTTTCATTTTGCAGTTAAAAGTTTTTTTTTTAAAGAATAAAATAAGAAAAATTTGGACAATTTAAATAAAACAAAGATGAAAATTTGTAAAAATAATTGTGACACAATTAATCAGAACATAATTACAATGCAAAAAAATCAATAATCTGTAAATATTTTATGAATCTTGAAAGATAAGATGCATCTAAATTATGAAAATTCCTTATGTAACTGAAAATGTTTAAATCTGTTCAAGTTATAAATCCAAAGAGAAACACTGAGCAAAAGCAACTTCCTACATTTGTAAAACCAAAACGGATTCAGCAAAGATTACAGAGAAACTTCTCATAGCATCCCGGCAGGTTGAAGATAAATATAGAAGAACCTGCTTTATAAAACCAAATTCAAACATCATGAGGGTTTGAGTGATTTGTTTAAAGAGCTTAATTGAAATCAGCTGTAGCAGATGAGGGTCTCAGAAACACACCCAACGCCTGAAAATATACTAACAACCAGTGTAAGATATCAAAGAAGTCTTATATTACATTCTTCATCATGTTCCATCAAAAATCACACCTGTATGCCATATGATGCAGACTTTGAAGTGCCAATATCAGTAAAATACTGTTTAATTTGAAGGCAATTTTGGACATATCTGCTGTGAATAATCATTTCAGAATTGAAGACTCTGTATGATCAATTGGATTTATTTTGAGCACAGCAACAAGAAAGTAAAACTAATTCTTCTGAGCAAGTCTTGAAGGATTTTGTCACCAGAAAGTTTTTTTCTTTCTAGCCATACATGCAAAATTCAGATTGTCTCCCCCTCAGAAGTGTCCAAGGGAAATGACCTTGCCACTCCAAGAGGTTTGTCTTTAGTCTGCTTTTAGTTTGTAATGAGGCGAGCTGGCAGGAGGATCAAAGGCTTTCCACTGAACCCTGATACTAAATGTTGCTGATGATGTGTCTGAAGGCAGAGCCCACTGATCATACCAAACGAGTGGAGAGGCCGGGCTGTGTCAGTCAGGTCTTAATCCGAGGCCAATGAAACCCTCTTATGAATGAGGACATGCATTCCACGTGATTCTGTTTATGCACAAACAGAATCATGTGCACAAATGTTTGCAGCTTTGCTTTTATTGAAAAACAAAAAATATATAGCTAAGTGCTGTTTCTTTTGCAGCGATGAAATTTAACATATTACCATATTACATTATTTATGGATGCAAACGTCTTTGTGGTAGTGAATGTATTAATGAGTTAGTGCTATATTTACACTTTTTAGTATGTTAGCTGAATGTGTGAGGATGTGGAGGTATTGACGATGTGCTATGATATTTATGTAAATTTGTTGGTTGCAAGGTTATTTTAGAATTTGTAGAGGAAAAATAATTGTCTTTTTATTGTATTTGGTTTTTTAAATTGTTTGTATTTTAATGTATAGTTTTTATTATATGAATGTGGAGGTTGTTAGTTGATTACATGAATATGTAGGCAGGAATACGTAGGTACTCTTACTGTATTTTGATTGATAAATTGTATGTATTTTAATGCATAAAAATGCCCAACCAGGGACTGGAGTTGTGAATTAGCTATATACTCTTTGTGCAACGCATCAGTCACAGACTTGTTCTGTTCTCTGTTTGTGTGCATTGTCCCTGTCTAACTAACTAACTAACTAACTAACTAAAAGTCAAACAATTTTCAGTTAGGTTATCTGGACAGTTTCTTTTTTTGTGCTGAAACGTTTCACCTTCCATCCAGAAGGCTTCGTCAGTCAAGGAAACGCACAACAAAACCGATTCTTCCCCCAACAACTTACTCCAAAGTGGAACAAATCAGTTAACTGGTATACCTTGAAACTGATGATGGCGGAGTAGATTAAGATACTTGCATGGTTGCAAACAGAAAAGGAAAAAGACGGTCTAGTTTGAACTAACGGGAAGATTTAGAACAGTGGTGTTCAAACATTTTTAACGGTGCGCCAGAACTGTCTAGAAGAAAGAACTCGCTGACCAGAACAATCTGAATTTAAGATTTTTTTTTAAGCGTTATTTTTTTTCTCCTCATTTTACCAACTTGAATAATATTTTGGAGAAATGTTAAAAATTTAATTTAAATTATTGTAGATCCAGAACTTAAAAGCCTCATAAACATTAATTAAAAATAATAATAATTTAAAGACATTCTTATTAGATTATTGGGGACTATTGTTTGTTTTCTTGTGCTTTGAAAGTTCATGTTTGTTTGTTTTCACAGACAAAAGCCTAAAATGAGTAATTGTTATTTAAAAAAAAGGGGTGGAACTTCAATCCCCCTTTGGACCATGGACAGCCCAAATGGATCATCAAAGTTCTGAAAAACAGCTGGGAGTCACTAAAACAGATTCATAGGTTTGAAGGGGCACAAAGTTGATCAACTTGTATGTCGATGATACTACTTTATATTCTTTTAAAAAATGTCCAATTTCTTTCCATCAGTTATTAACTCAACTGAAATAATTTTCTTTGAAAACACTTGTTATATTTAGCCAAGTTTTATGAATTATTATCCAAAATTCTACTTTTTGGTTGGTCAGTGAAGGTTCGTTGCAATAAAAAGGGATTAATGGCTATTTTTTTGTATTGTACTTAATTTCAATTATTTAAAGACGATTATTTTCATCGGTTTGGCTGTTAAAACTAAAAATTATTTTTAAAAAGTATCACCATTAAATCTAAAGACGGTCTACATCTGCGTCAACCTCTTAAACCTGTTTGTCAAAATTATACCATTCTTTAATTGCTGTCGAGGGCCGCGCAAAATCACTCCAAGGGCTGCGAATGGCCCTCGGGCCACACTTTGGAAGCCCTAGACTTAGAAGGTCTTCAGCCCAGATAACATGTTGCCTGGCTCGTTGTCAAGTCTCCTTCATCTCTTCCATTTTTTTCTAATCTTTCCCATCATTTCTGCAGCTGAAAATGTCTGTAAGATGAAAATAAGCAGAACGTTTCTGCCACAAATGAGTGAAATCATCTGGGCTGGAGTAGAAATGAGCAAACAAAAAATCATGAATGCACAAAGAGGGTGACAACTGGAACTGAGGAGACATTTTGGAGCCGTTATGAATTCAGAAACGTGTTTTAGCTTGTTGACACCGCTTTGTCAGCAATCGGATCTGAACCTGACGACAGCCCTTGTCCTTCCTGGCTCTCAAAACTCTAATGAACGATTCAAAGAAAAATCAGCTGATCAAGAAGCGCAGATCACTACAGCTAATCTCTGTTGGATGAATCCCATATAACATGAGAGGCTTCTTAGATCAGGGTGGCTGTTTTCAACTGCTACTCTCACCAAGTATACTTCAAAAATTAAGCACAAGAAAAGTAAATGCTATAACTTTTAATTATATTCCTGTCAAATAAGGATAAGTTGGCTCCTGCTTTTAATGTAATTCAAATAAGCCTGTACTTTTTATATCATGAAGAAAACTGCTGTTTGCCTTCTGCTATGTTTTTACATTTAAATGACATAAATAGTATTTAAAAACAAATACATGTGCTTTATGATTGAAAAACATCTCTTCTCTTGGTGCCAATCTTGCACTTTTTGTCTGTATGTGGAAAGATGAGGAGAAAAGAGCGCCGATATGCTGGTAGACGTTCGTAAGCAAAGATCGCCTTATCCCATCAGTGTTGACGCCACAAGGTCCAGAGTTGTCAAAAGTATCTGACCTTCATCTTTGTAAGATTACAAAGAAGGGGGGAACAAACTGGAGGAGAGAAAAAGTAAGAAAGTGGATATCGATCAAATGCGTGTTCAAACAAACTCAACTGGCGTCAAGCTCTGCAGACGGTGAAGAACAATGTCGCCACGGCAACGCTCGGTCGCTGGCTCACCCTTTTGGTGATTTTCACATCTCTTAGCCTTGGGGGAAAAAAGTGCCTTAAGATATAAAACTGTATGTTAAGTAATAAGGAGTTTAAAATCATGAAATCACAGTAACAAACTTAATTGTTATGAATGAATAGCCTGATGCATGCTCAATAATCCAGGAAGAAAAATCTAACAAAGTTAAGTCAGGGCCTCTGGACATGACTTAATTAGGTAATAATTAAGTAATTGCTTATTTATTAAGGTAATAATTATTATGAATGAACATAAACTTACAAAAAACAGAAAAGATGCATATCCAGGCACAAACATTTTTAAGCAGCAGCTCTAAAAACAAATATTCACATTTGGACCATATAGAAAAACAATGAAACACACTTTACTTTTTTTGTTTGTTCTGTGGTATTATTTAAATAAATGAACAAATATGAATGATGAAAATGTGATTCAGTTCTTTTTTTTATTTTTTTTTATTGCACTGCACAGGAGGATGGCAATATATAAGTAGTGAATTATTAGGAAGACTCGTACAAAAATACATACTGAGTAAAATATTAACATAGTTTGTTTATTATTTTTGTAATTCGTACAAAATTGTAAAATGCACATTCTTATAAACTCTTAAATAATACTTTATGTCACAAAATGTGTATACAAAGTTGCATTTATCACATGTGAAGCCTTAAATTTCAGTTCATACATAACAAAGTGCAGTAAAGTCTGCTTTCCATTTGTCTGTCAGGCTCTCAGCAGAGCCTCTACAGAGAAAGGCAGGGGCCTCACAGCAGGGGTCCTTACTGAGCTGCTTTGAGGACTCTCCTCAGAGTCTGCATGAGGACTTGACTGGCTGGATCGAGGGTCTGCAGTCCAACCCTGAGCTGCCACAGTTCTGGCCTCAAAAGTCCTGTTATGTGCAAGTATGTCTGACTCAGTCAGAACGCTCTGGTCTGATCTTAAAATAGAGGCTGTGGTGTCTGAATAGCCTTCTGAATCCATCATTTCTGTCTGTTTGGAGCTTGGTTTGACAAACCCCACATGTGGCAACGTGTTGACATCATTTTTGACTCTTTGTTGTGACGGCAGAGGTATGAGCTCCGTCTGGTGTTTCTTCCCACAGTGTTTCCAGCTATTCTGCACTTCTTTATCCTCTACATGTTGCACATGGCTTTGGCATAACAAAATGTCATTATAGTCACCTCCTGTGGAGGACCTGCTCCTTAGGTGGAAGAGCTCATAAAACTGGAGGCCGCACTCACAAAGAGGCTTATATTTATATACGGGCACGCAGCTGGATGTCCCTGCAGAGGACGAGTCCTTGTTGCAGCATTGGAGGCCAGGGGAGACGGGCAGAGGTGGGGGGTGAAGTAAAGGGATGAGAGCAGAGAAGTCGTTCTTCAGCTCTCGCTGCCTCAGCTCATGCTCCAGCATCACATTCTCCAGCTCCTTGTCTGCAAAAGCTCGTCTCTTCCTCATGCGAGCGCTGATTGAGGGGCACGGGAAGTGCGTTTGGTGACGCTGCGGCTGCTTTGACCAGCTGGATGCGCCATAGTCTGGAGACATCTGAGGTTTAAACCCTGAACATGGGAGGAAAGCCACAACGTGCTGTTACACCTTCATTTCTGTAATCATTTTGTAGCTAATAGCGCTAATTGTAGCATTTCAACTAATTAACTGCTTTGTTTTTGTTTGAATGCTTTACTGTTTATTGTTGTGATTATGTAGTTGGTTAGCGTTGTCATTTTCAATTGGCTGGGAGTGCAGGACGACTCGGAGGTTTATAAAGTAGTCAACGCTTGCAAGCGCTAACTCTAAGCTAGCATGTATTAATATGCAATCTAAATTATAATAGTGACTTGTTGCTGTGCAATGTTTGGGTTTGTTTACTCAAATTAAGTATGGCGTCTTATGTGTAATTAAGGGAGACATGGAGATGCAGAGCAGAACCATTTAAACATTGCTGCAATTACAGAAGCTGCACGTCAACACAGCACGCCTTTCCGAGCACCTTCCGAGTCGTTGGCTGCAGTTAGAATAAATAAGACACGTTGGGTTTTTCCTGCTAATAGCTACATTTTCTGACAAACTGATTCCTTCCCAAGAAAAGTTGGAAAAAAAGTGTGATGAATCAATTTCAGCAACACAAAGCACAGACAGAGCTTTCTGCAGAAATTCACATTTTAACAGAGTCTGGGTGAAAAGGAGAACGTGAATAAGAAATGAGGTGTAAATTAAACTTTACCCTGCGGGAGACTCTTAGCCACGATGCTTGACTCGGCTGCTCTGCTAAAACACCGATAGGCTGTTCTCCTCAGTGGAGCTGAACACTTGACCCCCCTTTTGCCCTGAGAGAAATGGGCGAACAAGAGTCAGACATTTGTACATAATGACTTTTTACAGAGACACCCTTCTGGGGCCAATTAAATGGAATGATTACTTTATGTAAGATGTGTGTAGAAATGTGGGGAAAAAAATAAAAAATTCTACCACTTGATATAAATCTGATAATTTGCATGGAAATTTCATCATTGACATTATAGCATTTATAATGTGTTTTTGGCTACAGACTAATTTCTGCTTTTGTTCTAACATAATTTAAACCAAAATAAGATACGTTTGTTTTGAAGATGGTCTGTATGATAAAATGGAGTTGTTTCATGTTTTAAGTGATTATTTTCTTTGTGCTACTCTTTCACTTTTCACAATCATCTCTCATTAGATTTTTAGCAGATTAAGACTTGACTGAAATTAAATATAATCTGGTAGCTCCTTTCACACAGAGAAACATAGAGCAATAAATCATTTTTCAGCGTTTAATACTTCATTGAAATTGATAAAATAAACCCCAACTGCATATAAATTATGAAAATAGAACCAGGTATTAAGCCCTTTACCTACTTATTTATAAAGACGACTAATTTTTATGTAATCTTACTGGACATGTACTGTGATATTCTCACTATTTGATCTTATACCTCACAGGAATTGTTTTAATTACTGTTTATTTATGTCTTCACATATTTTCCTGTCATTTGCTCACTGCCTTCTGTATAAAACCCTTGATCATCATGTGTTCATCATATCAGACATAGTTTATTAAAAAAAAACAGTAAAAAAAAAAAAAAATCCAGTGTGTATTATAGGTTGTGAATTCCAATTTCCAGATATTATTTTAATCGTGGCCATCTTATTTGTGTTTATTCTTTATGAAGGATGGCTTTTGTTAAACCTTCTCAATCCGGGTTTCCATTCACAACATTTTAATTTCCTGCACCAGTGTTCCCATTCTGCAATATTTGCCACCTACCCGAGCCTGCTTTGTGTCTCCCTGCCCCCGGGGTTGACTGACCTGTCCCTGCGCTCTCCTCCCCTCCGCAGCCTGCTGCCGCCGGAGCGCGACCTGCGCCGCCATGACGCGCTGCCGCTCCACCACCAGCAGGCAGCACGCGCAGCGGCAGTCCCTCCAGCGGCAGAAGCGCTTGTGGCCCTTCAAACACGACACGACGCCGTGGTTTCGACAGCGGGCACATTTGGGGCTGCGGGTCATCTTGCGCGCTTTCTGCTGGTGGCCCCCAGGGGACAAGGCCACTTTGTTCTCCCCTCCTTGGTCTCCGGAGCAGCCGTCAGGACGCATCATGTCACAAACTTTCTCAGACTTTACTTTTGTTGTTGTCTCCAGCTGCGGGCCTCCCATCTGAAGGGACATCTGTGACAAAAAGAGTTCCACTTTAAATCCGCTTTGTTGACAAATGACGCATGGCACAGATGCTAGAATAAGAAAACAATGTTAAAATAAAATTTATTTATGCCACAAGACCACACGAACTTTCATGAAGCTCTAATTTAAATGCATCACCTGCTATGAGTCTGAGAACTAACCTGGACTACATGTGGGGTGTCCTGCACCAACCTGCTGCTGCAGCTGCAGCACCACCTCACTGTTTTCAGGGTGGAAAGTTTGCAGCGAGCTTCCAGACGTTTGAAATGTTAAGCCTCTCCCAGCTGCCTCCAGTTTCCAAGAAGAAGCGGACTGCAGAACGACCGACCTCCTGACTCCCACCAGCCCAGATTTAGGGAGGCCTTCAAAAAAAGAAGCAACTCCCTCTCCAAATATAAAAACCTTCTACCTGTGCTGCCCTGCCCGCCTTCTCTGCTCCTCTCATCTTTCAAAAGATAGTCTGGCCCATGCTGTTCTGAGTTATTGCACAATTATAATAAATGTGTTTCTCAGAAGCAGAATCATTTTAACAACTATTTAAAATAACGAACAATGCTCAGATTAATCAATAATAATAAAACATTGCACCAATTTTCATTAAATATGAGAGTGAGTTACAGGATGTGAAGACATCTAGGAAATGAACTAATTATGGGCCTTGGGGGAAAATAAACAGAGGAATGTAAACGAGGGGAATGACATTTTCAGCCAGGAGTCATATTTTATCTCATATCTATCCAGTGTAACCTTAAATAATTACGCTTGATGGTTCAGATTATCCCTTTCTGCTAAAACAGAACAGTCTAAAATATTTTAAATTGATTTAACTCAGTGAAAAGTGTTCAGTGTTGTTAAAAGTAAAAAGAAAATCACACGTTTTAACCTGACTAGTCTTGTCTGGAGGAGGATATAATCTTGCAAAACATACATGACTTACTGTTTTGCAAATGCTTTTTATTTCAAGTTTATTTAATTCATTTGCATTTAAATCTTGTCCACCTCTCAGTGCTGGAAAATTAAAGACTTCATTAAGAAAAGTGTGCACCCTGCTGGATTATTTCTGTTAATGCAACTTGTGCACAAATAATCACTTTAAGTCATTTGTCTGCATTTGATCAACCACAGTAACAGACATGTTTCCACACGGGTAGCTTGTAAATGAACAGAACTAAACACCCTGATCTCCTGTTATGTATGGACAGATTCAGCTGCTGATTAAATGAATTCAGATGGCTCTCCACCACAGACGCACCACCGTTCTCATTAAACATAAATCATCTTGAAAATTATTTCTGCTGCAGATATTTCCTGCTCAGAGCAAATAAAAATCATTAAAAGGACATTTTCACACACATCATGGGAGCTCTGTCCTCACATGGTTCTCATTACCAAATTTAGTGTCAACTCTGTTTTGACTGTTTGCAAAATATCTCATGATCCACCAGATTGATGTACATCTCCAACAGAATAACATATTGAGTCAGTCCTATTTATAATGGTTGCCACTGCTAGTCAACGTGAGCCGACACAAATAAGGCATAGTATTGACTAATTTTACAGACATTGACATAAACTTTGCTGTGGTAATAGTTTAGATTCATTCATAACACATTTCAGTGTGACATCTGGCAATTTTGCATTAGATTCATTCAACCTTTATTTAGACAGGTTAATCCCAATGTGTAATGTCTGATCTATTTGTTATGACTCCACGGGCAAGCTGTAGCACAGCTTCAGCTTATGTGGTACTCTGCTACCAAATGATTAAAAAAGAGGTCAAAGCATTTAATCATCAGCTACGAAGCTCTCGACCTTGACCTCTCTAAGTGGCTTTAAGAATCTGTTGGACTCCTGGCAGGGACCAATGCAGACATGTTCCTGTTTTTAGTTTTATACATTTGTCTTGGAATCTAGCTGTTTTTTTTGTTTTGTTACCTTTTTCCTTTTAGCCATCCTATTTGTTAAAAAAAAAAAAAAAAAAAAAAAAACTGTAGTATGAGTTTTTATAACTGCTTATTGTTGTTGCTGTTGTCCATTGTTGTCATCTTTCTTTGTTGAAATCAGGTCTCTCTTGTAAATGAGTCCTCGAGGCTCAATGGGATTTACCTGTATAAATAAAGGTTGATTGATTTTCCAGGCTTGATCAAAATGGCCACTACACTATCACTTTTCAGTATAATATGATTGATATGACTGATCTTAGTTTAAAACTTTGACATGAAAGGTGGCGGGTGATTTGAATTTCCTACGGAAGCAAAACATGCTAGGCCTTTCATTTTGTATGAAATTATATATATATATATATATGTAGTGGACTAAGCCTACGTCGAAACCCAGTCTAAGGTCAAAACTCTTGACCTTAAGAACCTTGTGGGACAGGAACTGTCATTTCATGTATTTGAATACATAGATACAGGTTCACCCATCCTGAGACTTTCTTTCTTGAAGATTCAAGTGAAAAGAACACTCTCTTTTTATTATCATTACTATCTTACAAATGTTGATAATCAAAGTGTCTTAGTTCAAACCATTTTAGATGTTGCAGTGAACTAATCAATTTTATTAACTGAGTAATGATTTTATTCTCATGTTAAAAGCTGTGCAGAGTTTATGCATTTTTCTGATTTCTGCTTTTGAATGAGCAAGTGTGTGCGTTTACAAGGTTACAGTCAAACGAAAAACAAGTTGTTATGTTAAAACTGTCATGTTTTAGAATCCTCTCAGACGTAAATAGAGATGTTTTGCACCTGTGTCTTAGGCACGCCAAAACAGAACCCTCTCGGTCTGTGAGAACATTTCTGAGCTGTCTCATAACAATTCTCGCTGTCTCTAACCCCTTACGTCACAAAAACACACCCCTTCTGGTCGTTTCTGACCAATGAAAAATCCCAAAAAGTGAACCGGGAAAGAGCCTTTAAAATGTCAGTACTTCCTGGTCTACACAGACTCACAGAGACTCACAGAGACTCACGGAGTTACAGAGTTGGAGAGTTGTCAGACTTCAAGAGTTCTGTGGGAGTTCTGTAAACTACACGAGAGCTAAAGTTCTGATGGAGTGCTGTTGGAGTTCCTGACATGACAACGAAGCTCTTCCGAGTTCCATGGGATTATAACATTTTCCACTGAGGTGAATGTGTGTCGAACAGAGCCTCGCCACTACTTCTGACGGGCAACAGCCATTCTAAGGAGACGCTGGACCGGTAGCGTTAACGGAACACCATATCTGCTGATTATCATCAGAGAGGTAATGGGTCAAGTTTCCTACCAAGCGTACCGAGGCGAGCTGGGCTTCTGATGGAGAGTGTCGGTTCTGGAAAACACTTAATTTCCCTCACACACCATCCTTTACTCCCTCTAAACTTCTTTCCATCTTTAAACTTTCCTATGAAGTAGAAATTCTCCCAGATATTTAGAAATGTCTGTGTAAAATGCTTATTCACATCCGTGTGGGTAAAAGATCATAGTTGTACAGTTTTATAAATGTCTGTGGTGCAGCAACGGTAAAATCATGGCCGTATGATTTTTCCTGATTGATTGCTTATGTTGTTATTTTCATAATTTGCCAAATTAATGTAAATGTTTGATGTTAAATTTGATTCTGTAAATAAATGACCGCATTCATTTTGATGGGTCAAATTTAAATGACGTCTCACGTTTGCATTTCCTTAAATTCAATGCACGTTTTATTCAGTCCAGAAAAATGAGGAATCCGCGTTAAATGATGAATACATCCCAGCATCTGTTCATCTACAAACTGGTGGCCCGTACGGGGAGTCGAAAAATGGACTGTAACTCGTGTGCTAATTGATTTTCATGTTGGCATGTGTTGTAAAATAACAGTTGAATCCGTGCGTCTTTACGCAGCCGGAGCTGCGCGCTTGGAGCTGCACCGCCTGAAGCGAAATGCTGCATGTTTTTAAGCGTGTTGGTCTGTGATGCTCAGAAAGCTCACAGAGAAGCTGAAATTGAGTCACAAGTCTTTATAAAGCTGAATTGTACGTCTGTATGTGTAACATAAGCTGGCTTTGAGCTGTGGAAACGCTTTATTCTGTTTAAACTGTGTTC